AGATTTTACTATGAATATAGTTTATAATAAGTTTTGAGAGTGAAGACTGAATTATTTATAAAGGTAAAGAAGATTACAATTATTCTAAAGATTTCCTAGTACTAATACTTACGAGTATTATATCAATACAAGGCAAAAATGAAATAAAATGAAATTATAAAATGAAGTTGTAATTACAAATACTAAACTAAGAGGTGGTATCAAAACTAAGTAACAAATACTTAAAATAATTGTAATAAATGCAAACAAAACTAAGACAACCAATGCCAAACTAAAATATAGATAACAAATGCCAAATAAAGCTTTTGCACGTAGAGAAGCTTAACAAACCTTTTTCAAATAGAGGTAACAAATACCAAATCCAAGCTTTTGCATGTAGGAAAGCTATCAAGAACCTTTTTAATCAAAATATAATCTATTATGATAGAAGAGATAAATGAAAGTAAGTTATCAAGGCAAAAATCAAAGAAAAATTACAAGATAAGTATAATTCAAGTATTTTTAAAAGATAATTGAATTATTACTATTTAAATATGTTTATTTCAGATCTCAGAGTAGAGATATTTATATATCTTTGAGATTTTACAAGTTTCTATCTAAACTCATTTACTATTCTAAATTATAATTACAAATCTTGAGACAAAAGATCAATAAATAAATAAGTAAAAATAAGAGATAAGATACATGTGGTTAGTTAAATGATAATATAAATAATGAAATAAAATAAAAAGATAAGATATATATTCTAAAAAGAAAAGAAAATAAATAAAATTTGTTGTTGAATCATGTCTAAAGTATTTCTGAATCATTGTTGAACTATTTGTAAACTGTTATTGATTTTGAAACTAATTTTTCTAAGTTTAAAAAATTATGAAATTAAAGAAATTTATGTTACTATGATAATAATATTACTTTTAATTATATTATAATATTTTGATCTATGTTTTTAAATTATAGATTATAAATTTATTTTATTTTAATATAAAAATATTTATTAATAAAATTATAAGTTTTAATAAAGAAATTTTTAATTTTTATATATATTTTATTAATAGATTTAATTTTATAATGATAATTAATATATATAAATTAATTTAATAAAAACATTTTTAAATATTTTGATAATTATTATATATAAATTAATTTAATAATATATATAAATTAACTTAATAAAAAAAATTTTTAAATATATTTTTTCAAAGCTTTGAAAAAAATTTTGAATTTAAATTAAAATTTATATAAGATTTCTATTAAAAACTTAGTTTTTTTGTTATTAATATATATATTATTCTGAAAAAAATAAATAAATATAATAAGAATTGACATTTTCTTCTCATGACAAAAATGATTTATAATTGAGATATAAATTTAATTATAAATCATTTTTGAAATAATTAAATTAATCTGAAAAAAATATATATCAAAGATAGGTTATCATTATTTTACATAAAAACAAAAAATATTTGCTTCTTTTCAAGTTTAGATACTCGAAATTACACAAATTATACAAATTAATAATTGTAATTTGCCGCGATCTACACGCAGACTCGAGTTCCAAAGAAAGAAAGGATCATATTAAATTAACATAATATTTGTCGGTATGCAGTGTATATCAATATAAAAACCTGATTAGAATTTAGAAATTCAAATTCTTTGGGATTATATGCATCAACAAAAACGCATGGTGAAGCCTATTGTTCCCGGAATGGTAAGATATATTCTAATATAATATAATTTAATAACGCAATGCAATGTAATGTACTGTAATGCAAATCGAAAGTCGTGGAATAACGAAATCTCGAAAATTATGTTCCTTGCGTTCGTTTCTTTACATTCTCTTAACTATCTTACATTTTTTCGACGTTCATGTCAAACCATTTCAGGTTATCGTCCATCCTTTATAAACTTCATATCCCTAATTCTTTGTTCTCCCCTTCAATCGATTTATACCCTAAACCCTGATAACATATATCGTTATATCCTGTCATGTCATGTCATGTCATGTTATGTTATGTTGTATATTAATATGTTGTGTGTTGTGTAAAATAAATAGTAATCGAAAAATATAATTAGTTAATGCATAAATTATTTTATTACGAGATTCCTATTCTCTTCATAGATTTCATTTAGTTGATGTTTCTTCCAAACGTCTCCTTTCTAGAATTATTTTGAAAATCTCTCTTTTTTTATTAAAAAATTATCCTCGGATACGAAGAAGGGAATAAAAGGCGAAGGTGAAAACATCAAATAATACCATCATCATAACCCTATAACATGAATCATGCGTCAAAACCATCAATAGGCGGAGAATCTAGCACCAGCAGTGAAGATGTCTATTTTGAAGCGATAGCTGATGAAGATAATAATGATGACAGCAACAATAGCAACATCATTAATAAACAAGAAGTAATTCTAGATAAGGCTCAAACGCAATTGCCACATGTATTAACTTCCCGTAGAACACGTGAACGATTAAATCATCAACATAGTTCATCATTTGATTCGATGGGCTCATCGCGTTTCGAGTCTGTATATTTGACGCCTCGAGACTCGATCAAGTACATGAATACGAATGGTTCGTTTGAAGAGATCTCGTGTCCGTTGCCTAATAATAGTATCAATAATAAAGCCAGAAAAGCATCGTTGGGTATAGATAATGTAATCGGGGACAAATATAGAAAACAAGCATTTACTGCTGGAGTCAGCAGTAGCAATAGCAGTAGTAATAATCATAATCATAATCATAATCATAATAATTATCGCAATAATCATAATAATAATAATAATAATAATAATCGTAATAGTAATAATAATAATCGTAATAGTAATAATAATTACAACAATAATGACAATAATAATAATACAACAAATAATAATTATAACAATGATGATGATAATAATAATCAACAACAACAACATCATCATCATAATCATGATCATAATAATCACAATAATAATAACGAGGCTGACGGAAATGGAAGTAACGGTAATTACATTAACAAAAACAACAACACATTGGCCAGATATAATTTCATCCTTAACAATAATTACGATGACGAACAGGATATGATGAATCTTAACAATAACAGTACAATGTCTTTGAATAATAATAATAGCACAAACTTGAATGCATCCATGACATCTGTAACTTCATCATCGGCTCTAACTTACACCACTGCCATTCTTGCCTCGAATCACGAAATTGAGGCTAGTAGTTTTACCAATAATATTACGAATACTAATACTACTAATACTGTTGGTAATAATAGTGATCATAGTAATAACAGTAACGATCATAATAACAATAGCAATAATAATAAGTATTACCAACAACGCAGAATAAATGCTTCATCAATGAGCGATACTCCCACGCTTAATAATAATAATAATAATAATAATAATAATAATAATACTCTTAATGGTCTTAACATTAATAACGAGGATATTGATATCGACACAATCACACAGTACTTACAAAGAGATGCCAAACAGCGAAATGCGAAACGACGATCTGCAAGTGTAGGTGGTGATCGAGGTGTAAAAGGTGCTGATGTTGGAGGGAACGATTATAATGTGGTGAAAGCTGCAGAAGAAGCCTTAAATAGTATGGGATTAGGATTGAAATCCGATCAGTGGTTTAAGACTTCTAATGATTTAATAATGCAATTGGGACAACATGATGATCAGCGGGAAGAACAACAACAAGAAGATAAAAATCGAATGACAGTTTTTAATTTGAATAATAATAATAATAATTATAACAATGATAGTGTACATGACATTGGTCCTTCTACAATTCAACCAAGGGAACAATTAAAAATCCAACATCATCAGCAATTACATGATCGTCACTATTCTAATCATCAACAACAAAACATCACAAGGGAACAAGAATTGCAACAAAAGCGTAAATCTCGAATACATGATCTTTTTTTACCTTCATTTACTTCGATCTTTTCACCATCCTCTCCAATCACTAATCGCGAAAATGAAGATGATGATGATCATGATGGTGAAAATGATAATGTTGATGAAGATGATGATGACGATAAAACACAAACAAATTCTCCAAGAGCATCAACGAGAGCCTCAAATTTATCATTCTTATCATCAAAGCAAAAATCTAAAACAAAAGAGAGAATAGAAAAAATGGAGCAGATTGATGATAGCGGTATGAATAATGACTATGATGATAATGCTGACGATAACGACATTAATAGTGGTGATGTCCTTTACAAAGATGAATCAATAATAATTAATTCACCAACCTCAACAAAGAAACGAGTAATGATTAAAGAAGAACTGTCTTCATCTAATATCAAGAACAATAATAAAAAAACCTCAAAAAGGTTATCGAAATTATCACAGCAAGTTTCAATACCAACGCATGAAAATGACGGGCTTATGAGCACTCTTGATAAATTCTTTTTCTTTTTTGGGTGAGTAATTAAAAGTATTACAGAATAAAAAATGATGAATTCGTAATAACTTTTTTTTTATCAACCACACTCTCACATAAATAGCATATCAATAGCTTTCTTTCTTGCTGTGTTGGATATAAATGTGGTGGCTATGCAAGTACCAATAATAGTTGGTGAATTTCATTCAGCTCAGGATATTGCTTGGCTTGTCACCTCTTATAATTTAGGATGCGTAAGTATTTTTATTCCACATATTTAAAAATCATTATTGATGTGATCAACAATTTAATTGACATCAACCTCAAAATCACTTTATCCCGCATTAAAAGATGATTCTACAACCACTCTGCCCCAAACTTTCCTACATCTTTGGAAAAAAATGGGTTTTGTTATCGGCGATTTTCTGTTTCGGGATTGGTTCAATACTTTGTGGTGCATCTCAAAACATATTATGGTTGATAATAAGTAGGGGATTTTCCGGTCTAGGCGGTGGCATCATAACTTGTATGACCTTTCTTACTATACAAGATGTTTTCTCGGTAACCCGTCAACGATTATTATTTAATGCACTATTAAATGGCGTATCTTCAATTGCAACGGCGTCGGGTCCTTTTATTGGCGGACTTTTTGCGGACTATTTATCGTGGCGTTGGACATTTTATATGAATGCACCATTGTGTGCTGTCTCGATATTGATCCTGTGCTTCATCTGGAGATCAGACACGAATAATAATGATAACATATCGTCAAGACAATCTTCGACATTTGGTAAATTAAAATCTGTTGATTGGATAGGAACATTTTTATTATTCACGGGACTTTTGCTTATTCTTTTATCAACCGGATTTGGCGGCACGAACGACAACTACGACTGGATAAGCGTACCAATCATAACCATATTTAGTGTCGGAATATGTGTAATGATAATATTCGTGATACACGAGGTAAAATTCGCGGTTGACCCTATAATTCCCACTGTATTCTTCGAAAACTACGGATTACGAGCGATATTCGGTACCTTTTTCTTCCTAGGCTGGGTGCAAATAGTAATCACTTACTACATCCCGATCTTCTATCAGTATGTCCGTGGGAAATCGGCAACTGGCACAGCGATCGCGTTCGTGCCGTATATTAGCGGAGTGGTGGGGATGTCATGGTTGAGTTGTGTCGTTGTGTCGCGACGGCGATTGTTTCGTTGGTTTGTTGTGTTGGGGTATGTGCTTCTTATTGTGGGTGTTGCGTTGCAATCTACCTTTGATTTACCGACTGATAATGCGAGAGAGATTGTCGGACTGTTATTCGCCGGTATGGGTGTTGGTGTTTTGCTCCTGACGTTACCAGTAGCATGTCAATTTTCTACGCTATTATCAGAGAAAATACATAAAAAAGAGAATACTAATGATGAAGACGAAGATGATGACGTGGAATCACAACGAAATATCGAACTATTATCACAAACGCCACATTCTACACCACCTACAAAAAATAATGACCGCGCCAATCATAACAATAAAAATAGCAAATCATCATTACTAGATCCTTTGGAAATGATCACAGCTCTCGGAAACTTTTTCAAGAGCGCCGGTCTCGTATTCGGAATGTCGATATCCGGCGCATTGTTCAACAATATGATATCATCCGAGATCTCGTCGTTCATTGACGACTCAACTGACAACCAAATAAATAGCGTGAACACTGCGTTGTTAAAACCTACTTTTATCTTTTCCGAATTTTACCCTGATACACTATTATTCGTTCGTAGTGCGGTGCAAGATGGTGTTTCCCAAAATTTTACTATTTCTTTAGTTATGGCTGCTCTTGGATTGGTGTTTGCATTGTTTATTAGGCACTGAAGACTTTAATTTTAATTTATCCTTATTAATTTGTGACAGATGATAGATTAATATATATATATATATATATATATATATTTATTTATTTTTAAGATATTTATATATTCTTGATGTTGTATTTTAATCTGTATGTATACTAGTGTAATAATAATAATAATAATAACAAATAAAAAGATTTTACCTATCATGGTTGTTCCGATTGCCTCGAATGTCATCATCAACATTGTAGATCGATTACTCACGTGTACCGTTGAACAGAACTTATATATAAATACGCGAACTAAAAGGTTCTTTTTTCTCTGAGCGAAAAACGGCTACTACCCAAGAAATCAGATTAGTTACATAATATAGAAAACAACATTTAATCAATAGCTTACTACATATATAGATAGATGAATTAACTTTCTTATGAATCAAAATAATCAAAATCAAAAAACCACCTTGTCAACTTGTTTATTTAGATAATACTACAACATACTACGATCCCAGTTTATACAGGGGATCTTTTTATTCACAAAATAACAGAATTTTGTGATTTCATTAGCATTAGTGGAATACTAATTAAATAAAAGATCATGTGATCATCACTATGTGTAGTTTTTAGGCTATTAATTAATTATAAATTATAAGAAAAGATCCAGAATAAATTAAAGTCAAAATTCAAATGAATCAAAAGTTTTCAAATTTATAAATATCAAAAATATTACTTTCTTGATAAAGCTCAAAAGCTAATCTTTTATATCATATAAATATTTACTAAGAAATATATTTCTTACGAGTATAAATTTTTGTATTAAAAATTTAAACATTAAGCAATTTGGCAGGATGCCAGTTTGCTAACTTTAAAGTACCAGATGAGATAAAAGGGCATCCATTTTTTGCTCGGGAACTCTCAAGTCAATTAAGAGGATATTATTAAGAAAACAAGCGAATTTACTGTCAAGTTTGTTTGACAAAGAGTCATTGTGAAAAAGTTATTTGACAGTCAAATTCTTTCTAGACAAGCACTCTCCAAGAAAGAATGATTACAAATAGTTTTCATATTTATCTTGACATATTAAGTAAAAATGCAGGCACTACCGGGAATTACAGTAAGACATCAAGAGGCCCTAAAAAAAGCTTGCTAAACTTGTCAGCAATTAATTTAATTTTTTGCCATATACACACAGTCAACCTCCTAACCCGCGAACTACCCCATAGAGATCATTTCTTATAAAGGGAAGTTTTATTACGATTCATTTATCGTTATTGGGCTGAAAAAAGTTTATCTTAGACCTACAACTACTTTTGATCTTTTGGGCGTCTCAAAACGGAGAATATATGCACTTTATTATTCTATATTGAGCCAACCTCTAACTATAAGTGGAAAACTGTCAATATGAACGTCCTATTTACACGCGTCTTTTTTTTCAAACAAACTTCCAATGATAAAAATATATTTTTATGTATATAAATATGGGATTTTTGTTTCAATGTAAGACAAAACAAACTGTTGACACAAGAAACAGAATTGCATGAATACAAATGATGCATCTATGTATGTTGTGTATCTTTATGGATTATGTTGCGCTGCATTATGTTGTGCTCATTTTTTTTAGAATTAATTAGTGCTTAATTTGTAAATGCATACTCTTCATTATCTTTTATTTTATTTGTAATTCTGGCGGTTGAAAAGGAGGATTCTTTTTCTTGTGTCCTTGATTCAATATGTGAGTACATGCGTAACAATGCGTTTTTGGTGGTATGTATCCATTTGTAAGAGAGATTTTACACCTCAGATAAATAATAAATAATGAAGAAAAGTGAAAAGGTTCAGGAACAGGTACAAATACAAATACGTACACGACATTTATCTTTTACGACCGACCAACCAAATAATAAACTTTTCGAGATTACACGTAACACACACACACACACGCACTTTGCAATTAAAATTTCCTAGGTTGAATGGATTGGTTCAATGCTTGGAACACCACACATTTTACCTTTTATGGCTCTTTTGTGTTCGAATGTCAGCGATGCTCGAGGAATTATTGTCATTATTTCCCATCATCATCCTTCAAATCACTCGTCACCACCCCCAATAATTTTTTCTCACCTTTTTAACTTTTTTGCCAAAATTAAAAGTGGCTGTCGATTTATTAGTTATTGTGTGTCTTCGCCAACTCCATTTCATTCTTTCACAATCTTTCTCGAATATTATCATAAAAATTTAGGAAATACAACATTTATTTTAGTATAGTATACTTTTTTTTTTAATAAAACTCTTCCTTACACGCGCTACCTTCTATTTTAATTTTTTTTTTTACTTCGCTTCTAAAATACTTCCGTATTTCGTTTATTATTCTTCTTCACATTCATAATGTCGGGTATGTCTAAATTTCTTTTAACTCTGTTCGCTTGTCGCGGGCGCACGGCATCTCCTTAAGAGAAAAGCGCAGTTCCGCCATCTTAGCTTGCATATCTTCTTGCTCATCTGGTACTGTTTTAAAGAAAAAAGAAGATAAATATTGAAACAATATCGAAAAGCTTAAAGCCGAATTTTAAGGAGATTTATAGATGGCGGGAAAAAAAATATTTCACACGAACTTGCATCGTCCGCCATGATATTTTAATCTTTATCGCAAATCTCAGGGATTAAAATAGAAAGAGCCAATTTATCTAATATTTCCTTCTTTATTCAATTATGCTTTAGAAATTTCTACGAGTCCCCAAAGTGGAGGCGGCAAAGTAAGCTTATTAACTTCTTCATTTCAATGTAGTCAAATAATCATGATATCAATAGTAATTATGTCAACCTTTATTACTAGTTATCACAAGCTAACAGCGTAATCCGAAAAAAATTACAAGGATACGTTGGTTTCGCTAATCTTCCAAACCAAGTTCACCGGAAATCCGTGAAAAAAGGGTTCCACTTTACGGTGATGATTGTTGGTGAGTTAATCTTGTTAAATAAAATTCTCCAGATAAAATGTTTGTTTTGATATAAATAAAAATATCTAACCAGTTCTTGTGATATGTTTCTCAAAACAAAGGTGAATCTGGTCTCGGTAAATCAACCCTTGTCAATACTTTATTTGGCACCACATTATATCCTAATAAAGCAAATGCGCCACCAACGGACGAGTCACCGAAAACAGTAGAAATCCAATCGCTGAGCGCAGGTATGTTGGGCGTAATTTTTTTTCTTTTTGTTCCCCCTCATGTTTTCCTATCATCGGTTTTGCATGCTCAAATGTTTTTCATATAAATCTCTTAGATATCGAAGAAAATGGTGTCAAGCTAAGACTCACGGTTGTTGACACTCCTGGATTTGGTGATTTTGTTAATAATGAGGAAAGGTATACATGCGCATGCGTACAATGCAAAGAAATTTGATCATGTAAATTGTAATGATCATGATAATAACTCGTTTTTTTTTATGTAACAGTTGGAAACCTATACTCGATAACATCGAAGCACGTTTCGATGCATACCTCGAACAAGAAAATCGCGTTAATCGTCGCAAGATGGTTGATAATCGAGTTCACGCATGTATCTACTTTATTGCACCCACTGGTCATTCGTAAGTATTATTGTTAACGATCATCTATTCCCTTATAATTAAATGTAAATTTAATAATTTTATGAATTTGATATTGGATAGGCTCAAACCTTTGGATGTCGAATTCATGCGACGACTACACACCAAAGTCAATCTTATCCCTGTGATCGCTAAATCCGATACATTGACCGAGGATGAGATTAAAGAATTCAAACAACGAATTCTGGATGATATTGCTTTCCATAAAATTCAAATCTACCAGGCACCACAATATGAATACGATGACCCTGAGACAGTGTCTGAAAATCGCGAAATAATGGTAGGTATCTTTTTTTCTTTGTTATCTTCGTGTATGTATTAATGATAACGGGGCATGTAAATTTTTTAGAGCAAAATCCCGTTTGCTATTGTTGGTAGCGATAAAGAAGTTGAACTTCCCGACGGCCGTAAAGTCCGTGGTCGTAAATACCCATGGGGTGTAATTGAGGTTGATAATCCAGAGCATAATGACTTTGTAAAACTTCGTCAAATGCTTATTCGGTATGTTCAGCTGCATTTTACAAGTGACTCTTTTTGTTGTTTTCGATGATGATTCAATATAACCCTTTTGATGATAATAAATCCAACTTAGAACTCACATGGAAGAACTCAAAGAGTACACCAACGACGTTCTGTACGAGAACTACCGTTCCGAGAAGCTAGTCTCGATGGGTGTCCAACAAGACCAAACCGTTTTCAAGGAAGTGAACCCACTCGCCAAGATGGAAGAAGAGCGTCAACTACACGAGGCGAAATTACAAAAAATGGAAGCAGAAATGAAGATGGTGTTCCAACAAAAAGTACAAGAAAAGGAAGCCAAATTGAAACAATCGGAAGAAGAATTATATGCGCGTCATAAGGAAATGAAGGATGCTTTAGAGAAACAAAGAATGGAATTGGAGGAAAAGAAGAGGCGATTGGAGTCTGGTAGACCAATTACCCCTGAGAAAGCTAAAAAGAAGGGGTTTTCGTTTAATAAATAATAAATTTATCGTTGATGGTATGAAATGACGAATATCGATCCTTCCTCACTGCTCTCGTCTTTACCGCTTCTTAGCTTTTTAATTTAAGACTTACTTAATAGTATAATTTTATTTTTCATTTTTTAATTTTTATATAATTAGATTGTGGTTTTGATAGAAATAGTATTTATACTTTTGGATAGTTGGGTGGTTATGAAGGGTATGTGCGTGTGAACGTGCATTCCGTTGGATGAGGTTTGGTTTTTTGGTATTCGGTCACTAGTGTTGTTCTTTTTCGTTTTTAGTATATAAAAAAAATTCATTAATATCACCATCCCCTCCCCTCATTCATCGTTCTTCATACCTTCCTGCTTCCGCCCCAAAATTCAATAGTCCAAGCTAAAGTTAGTTAATGCATATATAACAACGCTGGCAGTTATTAGAACTTTTTTTACTTATTTACATTTATCCTTATATTTATCATTTCTATATATATATTATTAATTTTCTTTCTGATGATGATGTGATTTCCACCGGTAACTTATATTCATCATATATTATATATTTATTAGTACTACTATTACAACTACAATTATTACTTCTATTTTATAAGTTTTACGATCTTTTTACAAGTAACTCTATACACACATAAATTACATATATAATACACAAGTGCATACTTGAAAAGTAATCCAAAAAATTTATATATAATTAATTTTGCGATCTTTTATTATTTCGATCATGCGACTTTTTCACGTGGGTATTAGACTTAAAAAATTTGATCATTTTTGGCGGGACATTAGATATAATAATTTCTTAAGGGTGAAATTATTTAAATTCGAAATATTCACATTTAGCCGTATGTCGTATTACATGCCGTATTCCGTGCATTATCGTTATATCGTATATCGTATTTATCATAATCTGAAAATTGTAAATCATATCAATTGTCAAAAAAAAATAACTACTGCTGGAAATGTTTCTTATATTACATAAATTTGGATCCCATTTGGAAAGTCTATATAATGGTTCATCCAACCAGGTTGTTTTATAAATTGATCCAAACCTCCTTTTGCAAGATATTCAACGTTGAGAAATCTTTCAAAAGGAATCCATTCAAATAATCCATATTTATTGATCCGTTAGACCACATGAGGAAAATAAATTTAAACGACCTATTAAACACAGATTTGTGTTGAAATCATTACATAAATGTCAAAACTTCCTCATATTGAACTTACCGTTCCGACAAATATAGAAAAATCTAACAAGAAATTTGTGGAATACTTCCTTATATGAGTCCAGAACTGCTAAAATGGGAAAGCCATACATTTACGCTGCAGCTTTGGAATGATTATGTACGACCATTTGGTGAACGAAGTCATGATCTTTATCTTGTACCAAATAAGGTTACCGGATGGTATGAATGAAAAAATGTTGAGATCCTATTCCAGGAAACAGACTAACTACTCAACTCTTTCAACAGATCTGTTTCTCGGGCACATGAATTGTTGGGATTATGTTACACAACAATTTGTCTGCACCTTAGTAACAAGTATAGCATGAAGAACAATTAGTTTTTTGATACCGGAAACCTATCAAATTACCGAATGCAATGTAAAATAGCATATTACATGAGTAATACTAATCATATGATATTTTACGCGCAACAAAGATTCGGATGGATCAATAATAGGTAATACTATTACCGTAAAGTCCCCCCCCCCCCCCTTCAGATCCAAAAGTCTTAGAAAAGTTGAATAAGCAACCCCTATTTGCGATAGTGATTTTTAATATATAGCAGTAAATGATTTCCGAGTATTTCGATAATCAGTGACCAGATTCAAACGAAAAAACGCCAAAATGATCGCTTCAATAAGGCGAATCCGATGAGCTATAGAACGTTCAATTTGGATCATTAGTCGTCGATATATTTACGTTTATTTAAAGGGCTCGAAAATAAGCAACCCCCCTAAAAATTGACCTCAAAAATGATGACGTAGGGGGTTGCTTATTATCGGGACTTTACGGTATTTTCTGCGGAAAGAATCAAGGCTCCATCAAGCAAAGCCTGAAGAAAAATTCCCAAGCATCATTTTTATCTCGATCTATTACAGCCCCACAACTTTGGCACTTGTACATCTCAGATCCTTCTATTTTTTGAACACTTTCACACCAGCTGCAAGTTTTTGAAGTATAAATCTCATTTTGGATAATAATATTAATCTCTAATTCTTTAGTTTTAGTTATTAAATATTGATGAAATTGATAATAAATCCAACAGAGCATTTTATTAACAGTTTTTCATGTTATATTTCTTGTTTTTCAATTTATTATATTTGATATCTCAAAAGAAAGAATAATAATATATTAAATTTGCAAATAAAAAATACAATACTCTTTTTATAAATTTCATTTTGCAAATGTTTAATTTTTTGTATCATTCAAGAAATTACAAAATTAAGTTACAAGATCTTTTTATTTTTATATTTTGAATTAGAGATAGTTAGTAAATTTAAAAATTATTTATATATTTACATAAATAAATAACTCATTCAATATTATATTACCATATAATTCTAAATATAAGCAATCAAAAAATGCAAGATTTTGATAGAATAAAGAGAAAAAATTACTTATATTCAAGTATAAATTTATTATGTTTTATATATAATATTTTCAGAATCTCAGATCTTAAAAAGAGATGATTGCTTATATTTGAGAATTACTTATATTTAAAAATATATAATAATTAATTTTATTTATATTTTTAATAAAAAAATATTATATATAATGATCATTATAAATAATAAAAATTATTATTATGATCATAAATTCTATAAATTTTATTCATTTAACTTATAGTTTTATAGAAATATAAATCAAATATAAATATTCAAAAATATATATATATTAATAATTTATTTTTTTCATTATTTTTAATTATCTCATTTATATAATCTAATATTCTTTTTATCAGATTAAAATACAAGTTCATAAAAATATTCTTTCATTTCTTTCCAATTAATTCATATCAATAACTAATACTAATTGATTTTTCTTTTTGAACTATTTTCATTAACTTATTTTTTTATTCTTTTTTTAATAATTATTTAAAGATTTTTTATTAGATTAAGATTAGAATTATAAGATATCTATTTAAAAAGTTTTAAAATTTAATAATAAATAAATACTTTTATTTTTATAATTTAATATTTTAGATTATCTTATTAAAAAATCTAATATTTTTCTATAATTCTATATATATTTTCAAAAAGATTATTAATTAAAATTTTATAATAAAATACTATATTCATATTTTGAATAAATATATGAAAGCTAATTATTTTATATATAAAAAATACATATTAAACATAAACTTTTTCTAAATATTAGAATCTTTTTTTATAAAATACTTGTTTTATTTTTATAAAATATATTTATAGTATCTTAAAATATTTAAAATATAATTTTATTTAAGAATATTATAATTTTTCAGTTTTTTTATAATATTTTTTTATCTATTTTACTCAAACTAAATAATATTTTTCTAAAAGTAAAAACATAGTTTTAAATAATATTTAAGCTTATTAAAACTCATAATTTACTATTTATATAAATATTTTAATTTTAGATTAAAGTTTTATGATAATTTTATTCCAGATAAAATATTTATTATTTATAATAATTTTTTCTAATATATATTAATCTTGAGAAATTAAAATTATAAAATATTTCAGATAAGAAATAAACTTGAGTTTATTATTTTTTTTTAGTTAAGTAATATATTTATATATTATAGAAAGAGAAATATTACTTTTTTTATTAAGTTAGAATATTATAGATATTATATTTTTAAAGATAATTTATAGTTTCTTTTATTTATAATAAAAAAAAGAGAAAAAACTAAAATTATTTTTTTTAAATTTGTTTTTATATCATATTAATAAATAAATTATTATTGAAATATAACTATATATATTATAGATAGTTAAGTTTTTTTTATATATAATTATATCATTTTTAATTCTTATTATTTATAATAATTATTATAGAAATATATAAATATTAAAATTAATAAAAATTATATAAATAAAATTATCTGCTTAAATTTTATAAGGTTATTTTTATATTTTATAAATTTTTATTTATTATAACAAATTAAAATAAAATAAGTAATTTTTTTGTATATAAATTATATAATTTATATATATTATTATTTATATTATATAATACATAATATTTTACATATAAAAATTATTAGAATTAAAATAAAAAATAATTAATTAATAAAAATTAATTTAATTACAAGTTAGTTATATAACTAAATATTTTTACTTATATATAAATATATTTTGATATTTTTATTATTATTATATTATCTAATTATATATTAAAAATATTAAAATTATAATATATTAATATTAATATAATATATTATTAATTAATTAATAAATTTTTATTTATATATATATTATTTATTACTTATTTTATCTATTTAAATTTCTTTAAATTCTTTACTATAAAGATTTTTATCACATTATTAATTTTTATTCTTATAGTTTTATTATTATTATATATATTAATAATCTTTTTATTAATATTATATATTTATTTTAACTTTTATTTTCTTATTTTTTGATTAATATTATAATTTAAAATAATTATAATTATCTTTTTAGATTTAAAAACTAATTTTTTTTAATAAATATTTTATGTAATTTTTATTTATATTTTTTGATTTATCTTATATAAGTTTTATAAATAATAACTTAATTATTATTCTTTTATATTATTTTAATAATTATTTCATATAAAATATCTTTTTCTCTTATATTTTAATTGAGATATAAATTTTAATATTAAAAATATTAACTTATTTTAAAGTTTTATTAAATTATATTATTTTATTCAAAATATTATTAATTTATATTATTTATTTAAAGTATTATTTATTTATATTATTTTATTTAAAATATTATTAATTTATATAATTTTATTTAAAGTATTATAAGTTAATA